TAAAAGTTATTTTATGACTAAAATACAACATCTTTGATAGAAGTGGAATCACATTCTAAGGACAGGGCGTGGATAACTTCATCAGGTCACGCTAGACTTTATCAAGTCACAACTTTGACACGATTTTTTTGATTTAAACTTTGGAGTGTAAGTTTTGCCACTTCTCGTTCTCAGAAGTGGAAACTCTTTTTGCAGGCAAACATTAATTTAGTCGGAATACAAATTTGGAAAATACTACAGCGTGTAGAAACTCATGCACATTTTTGAATATTTTTTGATGTTATTCGTTCAAAATGTTGTGCTTCATTTTTCTGTCAAGCAATTTACAAGATAAGTAACAAACAAAGTATATGCTATAACTAATAAAGGCTGGCTTTTGATGAATTTTCATTCCCCATATCTTCTTATAGGTTAATCATTCTATACTTCATAGTGATAAATAAATAAACCTCGTTATATGAAAAGATTGCCCTTCAAAATGTTTATAATACAATACCGTTTTACTTTTTCACAGAATTTTAGACACCCTAAAAGATAGAAAGCAGATGCTTCTCTATCCCATTTGGGTAAATGGTATGATAGAATCAAAAGTTATTGGATTATAATCGAATCCATTAGGTTCACTGTCACATAAAATGATATATAACGAAAAAACTAAAAACGCAGTATTCAACAAATATAATCCCCACCTGTTCAACGTAATTTAAGGTACAAATTTCCCAATGGTTATAAAATATTTTTGAGCAGATGTCCGACCGCGGCATCGGCATATACATATTTTGCATTTTATTGAAAAATAGCAGCATGTGCCTTCACAACGCGGCGGCCTGAATGCATTTCGATTCGGAATATTTTGCATATCCGTATCGTGTGCCAAATATACACGCTTGCCAGATTAAAAACAATCACTTCTCGCATCTAAAGGGCGCAAATATTCTCGGACGGTTTTGGATGACAAAATAAACGACAGAGCCGGAATTATGGGCATTATAGGTTATACATGTTAGTATCAGCTGATTTACATAATGACAAATAAAAATGTGCGAGATTATTAATCATTAAAAATCAATTCAGTGATAGATAGTTCAGTATTGACATTTATATCCATAAATAATATATGTTGGTTAATAATAAGTAAATATTTGTAGAAGCCATTGCAAAAATTCTTCAAGCCCTCCTTGGTAGCAAAAGTACACGCGTAAGCATTTACTAGGTGCATAAGATTACCAGGATCAAAGGGTTGTTGATAAACATTTGCAACCCTCCAACGCCAAATCACCAGAAATGCCCGAAAAAGGTCAAACTTCTAATCTAAAATGTATATAAATTCCATTTTTTTGGGTAAAATGTTTGAAATTTTTGATATAAGCTTTTTATCAGTAGTAAAAAATGAACGTTTTGTACCCACTTACGTACAGATCTAACAACAAGGCTGTCAGTGTCGGAATATAACAAAGCATGAGTATGATATAAGTTCATAATACTGAGTCCTGATGAGAATAATTGTTTTGAAATTGGCATAATGCTATTTCATCGTGCACGTCACTTCTCTGCAAACCCAGATTGTCTCCATGTGACTTGTTAAGGCCTGGACAAAAAACCAGCTTATGTCCACCCCTCATTGAAAATTACTGGCCTGAAGGAACTCAATCCAGTTAAAAGACGTGAAGACCTGGGCTTATGCACCATGCGCGCCAACCGCTTATAACTATATACGTGTACACACCATCATCTTCAGCTGTAAGCGGAGTCATCTCTAGAACTGTAGAGGCAGGTTATGGGAGTCCCATTTCTGTTGTTTAGAAATCCTTAGAATGCAGAATCTTAGAAATTCACTTCACAAAAGCGATAATAAAAGTACACCTAGTTAGAGGCCAACTTCTCTCATTTCTCTAGGGAGTTGTGTGATCCCAATCTGTTAGGTTTCATCGAGTAAGTTTCTTGGACTAGAAATTGATCACAAGTTGGAATTTATTGATCAACTCACAGTACTATGTCAAAGGCTGGTAACTGGTGTGCTTTTCCGTAAAAGTGGTGTCACGTGAGGGGGACATTAAAGCGGCCAAAACAATGTACCACGCAAAGACGAATATTATGGTGAAACATTGTATTTTGGGGATCTTGTAGCATACCGGAACTCCTGGAACCTTTTTATAAAACACAAAATGTTAATTATGATGTGATGTGTATTTTTACTGATTTTAGCATGCTTTTCTAAAAATAAGTGCACAACTATCAACTGAGGCCAATCGATACGGTACTAGGCATTATCACAACATTCGCTTGCTGATTTCCAAGTCAGCTTCAACTAAAAACTGTAATTTATGATGTAATTAAGATATTCACCATTTAAGAGCAGTTGCTATAATAGTCAATTATTTGAAGGTCTTCAAGACGTCTGTGAAGGATTTGCTTATAAAGAGTCTATCATAGCCTCAGGGATAATGTCGTGTGGTACTGTGTGATCCTATTTACATGTCAAATTATTGTTAATTTCACGTTGTACCTTGTACTGTATTTTATTTCTGCTCTTCTTAATAACAAGAATATGGTATTTTTGGACAATAAAATACATTTTGACTAATTGATTAATTACGAGGGGAGTTAAGAGGTAATCTTTCATTGGAAAATAGATGTCATGTTTGAGAACAAGTAATTATTTTTAAAGAATGTCTACATACAGCAGATGGTTCGACATCTCCTTGGAGAATACACTAATTTGTGATTTACTTGCTTAGTAACCAACGCAAGCCGCTCATCAGTGAGCTATGGTATCTGATAGGGCTTATGATCTAACAACTGGTGCGCATCTAGCCACAAGACAGAGCAGATACATTGGCTTTCATTCAATCAATGCATGTCATTTGCTAGGTAAGAAGCCACCTTGATGAGGCTTGTTGGACAATTTGAGCAATACTAAATGTTTTCAGCTCAATTTATTTACAAAAAATTTTTTTGATTCATATGTATAACTCACGACCTTTTGTAAAAAGTCACTACTATCTTTCTGAGATACACTATTCCATATCAAATACAATGTCACTAGCTTTATACCGCTATTTGTCTGAAATGTTCTATAGTCCTTCCTCCTGAATTCAATTCAGATCCAATCACTTTCTAGTGGGCGGAGTGATGAAATGCCCTTTCCTCGTAATTTCTTGTAACGCCGATAGGGTCAATCGGAAGTTTGAAAGTTAAATAACCTAATTTATCAGACGAATTGCTACACCCCAGGGCCAGTTCACACCCCTGCATTCCACAGCGGAAAGTTGGCAATTAGACAGCCTTTTAAAATATGGGTGTCGCAGGAACTGTTACGATGACTGTTGAACATATACTGGTTGTCTCAAGAAACAGTGACAATATTCCTAGAGCAAATACATGGTCCTTATGGATCCTGTACTTATTGGGCCAATAGACAGAAGCTACGGCTAACAATCGACAAGGACTAGCACTATGTAAACGCTTCATTGAAGTAGAGGCTAAATCATAGGAGCGCCAAATGTATGCATGCTTCGTTTGCGTAGTGCTAGTGGCTAGCACCCAGTGACGGAAATCAGCTACTGGAATACAGCCCATTAAGTACATATTTAGTATATAGCACCTTTTAAGTTGATTGTCTAGTATTTGTGCAATCGCCAAATGTTCTTTAAAAAATGTATAGTATATTTAACTCAATGGTGGCAGTAATTTTGAAGTTTGACGTAAGTTGGGCAAAACTTCAATTTAGAAAATCTATTCACATGGCAAAAAACTGGGGATTCGAAAAGCCATGTGTGCTTCATGAGATGACATTTTTTTTATGGTGAGCACAATGATTCATAGGACCCAAATTGGTGATAAAAATTAGAAATAGGCTTTAGTAACGTTCGCTGATATTTAGCTATATTCCGATACAGATAACCATCGCTGTAGAGCAACAGTATAAAACGTATACATGAAATGAAAATCATTTCAGCCATGTCGGCAGTTATAGCATTTTTTTAGCGGAACAGCTCATATGAAAACCATCAGTATCCAATCAGCTGTAGTTTTGTGTTGATTTTTTTTTTTTGAGATTGTTACTTCGAAAAACTAAGCTCCTGTATGGTGCAAGTAGAACTGAAATTTACATACAGCTACACAATAACAATTATTCTATTTAAAAGCGAGGATAACCAACATGCAATATACATTTGCCTACACGATGGCCATAAAGTTTAGAATTCAAGAAGAGTTATATTGCAACGACCTTCCATTTGCAGAGTGATAAAACATGGTAGGTATTACTTCCCTGCGAAATACACATCTAATACAACATAAAAATCCCGATGAAAGCTGCTGCTGTATGCGGTTGCCGTCATAAAATCCCGGCGAGTACAGCTGTTTTCGCTTGTAATAATATAAAAATCATTCAGAACGTATGTAGCTGTACACAACTCTTTTTGACACCCATTATTGTACGGTAACAGATATCATTTGAAATAACGCTGACGCGAGTTTGGAAAGGCGTGCCTTGACTGCTGAATCGCTGTCCGTTGTATATTAGGGTGGTTATCTGAAATTTGGTTAACTTCTGATGTAATTTTGAAGGTGGTGTTTTAGTTAAAAATCAGAACAGCTTATATTCTATGCGGTAGGTATAACATCTACTTTGCTGCATCTAAAAGGGCCAGTCACTTTACTTCATATTTTCAGAGAAATTTATGATTTTTTAAAATCAGTGTTCTAGGGACTGACGACAAGTGATAGGGACTGACACCAAACACGGTTATTATGTCAAATCACATTTTTTATTGCAAAATCAACCGTAACAACAAAATAATCTCTTAAGTTCACAAATTCTATGATTTATAATCGCAGTACAGGATTTATTTTTTTAATTATACACTTGAAAATAATCTATCAATATTTCTCAACAATCAAATTATACTTTGAGTTTAATACTTACAAACTAATAGTCCTTTAAAAATTAACAATTATTTTAAATAATCAGCTTTCTCAAGTTTTAAGTTACCAAATTATAATTTGAACACAACATTCAGACTTTCATTAATTATTATGAGATCACTCTCTTCTAATTGCATAACTAAATCACGAGGTTTTGAATTGCATATCTCTTTCTTATACTTTGTGACGTATCTATCCTGTTTAGTTTTAATGTCCTTAATCAATTCCTTGCTATGCTTCCATTGTTTGACTGCCATGTCCTTACTATTATCAAACTCCTTATATGGTAAAATCTTCAATGAGCAGTCCTGGCGAGTTCTCGCTAAGCATTTTTCCGAGTAACGATAACAGCAAATTGTTTCCAGTGCAGTTTGATATGTGGCAAAGTCAAGAACGTTTGCATTTTTTAAGGCACCTAACTTCAAATTGATGTTTTCATGAATAACACAAGCACAGGTATCACGGTCTGTAAGCTTAGGCACAACAACCCAAAATGGACGCAATTTGCAAAAATAATTATACCCAATTTCCATCAAACTCGTATTGTGAAATTTTTGATGCAAGTTCTTCAAGGAATCCAGCAAATATCTTTTTTGTTTTTTAATTTTTTTGCGAGTGATGCATTCTTTTTTTCCTGCCGCACAACGACTATTATTGTCATCTTCATAAAACTTGTGTATGATTTCTTCAACTCTCTTTTTTTTTCGCATAGCTTCATATTTTGTACGATTAAATCCCATCTTTTTATATGTAATGGCTGTGTTTCCAAGTCTCCATATTTTATATTTATGTGTCAGTGGACTTGACAAAATCGTTTTTAAGCAGGTTTTTGTTTTGGGTGTCTGAATCTCTTTATCTAAAATTTGCCTTTGAATAATATCGCCAAATAACACTTTTTTATCAATTCTGCTTTTTGATTAGGGTCGTTGGCCATTTCTACAATTTTACTTTCTGGTGTCAGTGCTTGCTTCGTTTGTATCATTCTATGTTTCAGTCTTCTGTTTCTTTGTTGTTCGCTGGCAAGTTTCTTCTTTAAATTTTCAATGAGTAAGTCCTTCCTCCTCAACATACTATTTCTTTTTCTCCGTTGAACTATACTCCTCCTTCTAGCTTCAGCTTCTCTTTCATTATTTAATAAAGGAGCCGCAGGAATAATTTCATCTTCCGATGATGGCGGCGTATTTTGGTCCACGTATTTATCTGTATTGTCACGAATCTTTTGTTTTTTTCTATAATCAGATGAATAGGCTACCCAATTTTTTCTTGCCTTTCTGTGCTCACGGGGAGTCATGTCTTTTACACACTTCCGTTGTCCTTTTTCCTTTTTCTTTAGATATTTTAGTCGTTCCTTTTCTTTGTACTCCGCCAGCAAAACAGGATCATTTTTAATTTTTTCCAATCGCCTCTTTGCCTGTTCAGACTTTTTTTTTGCAATTTCCTCTTTAGACAATGTTTTTTTCTTTATAGGCGCCATATTCTACAACAAATACATTGGTATTATGATTAAAACTATGCATCACACAGTATGATCATCAGTCCCTAGATGTGGCATCAGGCCCTAGTCACTATTACGACTAGGGCCTGACGGTCTAGGGACTGACGAAACGAAGCAAAATCAAATGAAAGCTATTATTTTAAATCACTATAAAATCAATAGGCGGTCAAAATAACAAAGCAGACCTAGCTCATACATTCAATAAGTAATGAGATCAATGAGTAGGTAATTATATATCTTTAAAACGACTTACCTAGGGCCTGAGAGTTTGACTGGCACAGCACATGTTTCCGCAGCAAAGTCGGTTACCACACTAATAGCAAAATTGCTGCCGCGGCTTGGCTCGTGTTTGCAACCAACTACACACCGATGCTACCGTATTGAGTGAGTTATGAATAAGTCATATGTTTGGATGCCGCGTATTTTTGAATTTCGTAAATGACTAGGGCCTGATATTTTTTATCGCTTACACTTTTTGACTTGAAATAATGTGATCAAACAAAATTATTTTATACATTAAATCGTAATGACAATGTAAGCAATGTAATAGTAAACAAATTTAAATAGAGTTTCATCAAATTATTATTTAATACAATAAGATTACAGTGACGTGAATACTAAATTTGGGAGATCTTACATGGCTAGGGCCTGATATTTGGAGTAAAAAATGTCAATTTATTGAAATAAAGAATATTATGACATTTATCAAAATTGATGACCGAACTAAATAGACTATAAAATATCGCTTAGTAGTTGCAGATATAGGATATATATTTTTTAATATTGTGAAAATTCATGCTAACACCAAGTTAACCAAATTTCAGATAACCACCCATTACGAGGATCCGTTTTCAGTTTAGGAGGAGCGCTTTGTTTTTGAAGCGAAATAAACAAGCTTCAGTTTTCAATTTTCGGCAATATATACAGGATGTCGACATTGCCAGTAAAAAAAAATATCCTCGCAAGTTCATACAAGGCTTTCCTATAGAGATATAAGCCCCTAAAAGACGTTAGTGGGAATCGGTTTTCCTTAACCCGCTGTGACCTACTATTCATCTGGGATGAATAACAATTACAAACTTGTTCCACTTTGTAGTCCACTGAGTCGCACAACAGAGGGTTGCTGTGCGATTCCGCTTGACTCTAACGTCGCTGCGCGTGAAGCTTGACATACTCCCTCAAGCAAGGAATCTCAAGGTCTTTGTGTAGTGTCTCGTTTGAGACATACCATGGAGCGTTTCAAATTGTTTACAAATTTCTACTTTGCAGTACTTGAAGACTTTGCATGTGTGTCATTGGCAAGAAAACACCACGGCGCACATGCATAAGTAATGGCTGGTCTAATAATCATTTTAGATAAGCGAACTTTGTTTATCAAACTCAATTTGGTATATCTACATAACAAAGAATATAGTTGCCGAAACGCAATTTGGAATTTTGTTTTCAAGGCTGCTGTGTGTTTCTGCCAGGTCATGCCTTTATCAAGAGTGACACCGAGTTACTTGGCAGAACTTGTCCATGGTACACGATTGCCGTCTACAGAAACCTTTGCTGGGGGCCGTGATGTTTTTTGGTACAATAAATAGCCTGCGTTTTCGAATTATTAATTTTAATCAGTCACCGATTCGTCCACTCTAGTACTTCTTCCACCGCACTCTGCAACCCATCGTGAACCAGATCACCAGTACACGACTGGGTGCAAGTGCAGTGTCGTCAGCATATAGGTAGACTTCACAGTTGCCTTGGCATGGGACATCATGGGTAAAAAGCGAATAAAGGATTGGTCCTAGGACCGAAGCCTGAGGAACACCGACCTGTACTGGCCGTGTTGTTGACAAAACATTGTTAATATTGATCCGAAACTTCCTTCCTTCAAGAAAGGATTTCAGTAATTTTAGAAGCCAAAAAGGAAACCCCTTTTGGATTAGTTTATAAAGGAGGCCCGCGTGCCACACCTTGTCAAAGGCTTTTGAGAAAGCAAGATACCAGTGCCCACGCTGAGGGTGAACCCTCTGGTTACATGTTCCACCAGCCTGACTGCCTGTAGCTCGGTGCTATACTCGGACCGAAAACAGAATTGGACGTCAGGAATCACATGGTGATTTGACAAAAAATTCTCAAGATGGCGATAAATTACCTTTTCGGCGAGCTTAGAAGGAGCTGACAGCAGACTAATGGGACGGTAATCCTGAGGAAATATCGAACCAACCTTCTTTGGAATTATGATGACCTCAGCAGTCTTCCACCCCGCAGGGAAGTGCTGGGTTCTGGGCATTGCATTGATTATTGTCACCAAATATGTCAGACCTTTCGGCAAGAGCAGCTTCAGCGCCTTGTTGGTGATAGTTTGAGTTCTATCTTGTGATGTAAAGAGTATGTTAGGTATTTTGTCAGTTAGTTGTTAGCTTTGTTTACTTCGAGATTCGTCTTATTCTTTCTAGATTGTGATCTGCATGGTACTAGGTGTATAAGGAAGTGTAGAGTTGTAGATGAAGACTGGGTATCTGAGTTTTTGAGCGAATAAGAAGTAAAAAGTCGTGAAGTATTCAATTACAACTGCGACAAGGAGAGACCGGGGTTCTTTTGTGTGTGGATTAAACCACTGGATTCCACTAAAAGAAATGCACTAATTCATTTAACTTGACTAGGTAGAACAATTATGTACACCACTATTTATGTCTGACTATTTGTTTACGAATTACTATGTCGCGCCATTCTCTGAACTATACTCTACTTTGCTCTACTCTACTCCGCTTCCATCTCCCGGCCGTTCCTCCATAGTCCGCATCACAGGTACTCGTTGAGTCGAGAAGATTCCGGTGAGCCACATAGCAGCACTCTAGAATCGTCGAGGTCACTTCGCGACGATCTAGAAGGCGAGTCACTGGCACTGTCCTCAACAGATGTCGCCAAGCGGCATGTGCGGTCGCGATCCGCGCAAAAACAGAGATCGGCCATGAAGCTCTGGCGAGTAGGAGAGTCTGGCGCGGTCCCCGACAGATGACGCCAATAGTACCATTCATTCTTGTTACAATATACACCAATAAAGGTTAAACAACTATGAACAACAATGTTTAATTCAACGAAATTCCTCCTCAATAACCAGTTTAATCCTCCATATGATGTGTCCATGTGAATAATCCATAACTGCTGATTTTCTGGAAGAGTACAAAAATAATATATTTGGAAGGCCTCCTACTTTAATTGAAAAATGGGACAACTCCTAGAAAGTTCCATGAACAATCTAAAACTTGTTTGATCTGATAATTCATATGCTGGGTGTTTTCGGGGCGCTGAATTTGTTACCAGAATAACTGTATTTTAAAATAATCAGTATCATGGATCCAAAATCAAAATTGATAAGAATGAACTGAAAAATGTTAAGCTAAGCTATAAGTAAGTATAATAAGATATAATATGATGTGGATGGCCTCTAGGATTCATGTAGGATACAACATACCGAGTTCAATAATAAATTATTGCAATCCAATAATTACCTCCCTAGAAATTCTTAGACAACATACGCCAGAAAACATTTCACATTTGTTTAATAGCCTCTTTTTTGAAGTTGAATGAAAATCATGCGACGTTTGTATGATAAATTAATGAAGGAGGCTGGATGTCACTGAAAATCAGTTGCTCTTGAAATAATGTCTGAACGACATTGAATTGTTTTCCTCAAAAATGCACATTTTGTCGACATCAAACAAGAGTTAACTTTTTTAGCAATAGGATCCCTCTTATTGAAAACCAGAATCTTTGTCTATTATTGTACAGGATATTCAAAATATCAGCGTTGGGTATATCAGGATGAATTAAATGAGTGAATCTTGCATAATTATATGAGGCCCACATTAACTATTTTATTAAAAATAGAATGTGGGATCTCTGATGTCGTTTTAAATCATCGCATTAGTTTCTTGTGTTCTACACGAATTGGTGAGGTGGCTTAAATATTATGAAACACTCTGTATAAGAATTATGTTTTAAAAACAGTGCAACCTTAATAGTAGCTTTAAATGGATTCGCCCGTATTGCACGGAAAAGCGAAAAAACCAATTTTCCATATCCGAGTTTCCAGTATACTGAATCCTGAATGTATATTAGCTAATTATCATACATTTTTGGCAGATAAACTGCTATTGCTGGAGGGAAACAGGCTCAAGCTGAGCACGGTATTTGTAATATTTTGGGGGAGGAATATTATCTGTACGCACACAAGGGATTATGTAATTTTTTTGAAATCATGATATGCAGGACGGTAGAAGTCTCATTATGACTTTATTAAAAAAGGCAACCTGTTTGAGAAGGGAAAAGGTCAATGAACTTCTGAAAGTGCAACGCATTTTCCGCACATTTGGAAGTTTATGGTAGTTGAATCTTATGGACGTTTTAATTTTTTCAGATATTAATTTCCCTTCGTCATATCGCAAGTATCTATGCAAGTAGGTTGTTGCTTGTACTGTTTCAAAAACGTTTTAGTCACTATCCACGCTTAGTACCTCACCATACGAGTATGTGCCTTAGGACAAGTTAGAAATTAACAGATGCGTATATGAAAATGTTGAAAAATTGTACACGTAACAGGTTTCATCCGAACATTTTCCAAGAGCGCCGAAAAAAAACACTATCATCAGGAAAAATGCTAAACAAATGCTTACTGTTCGCTAATAAGGATATGAGAAAAAAGGGGCACAAGTATAAAGTACTAACTTCTATGCTTTCTTTCCTCGGTCAGAAAAATGGTGGAAACCGCATTTAATAATTTTTTCCCGATACAAAATTACACAAAAATACACTATGACAAAAATTGAGGGATCAAATTGAATAGTGATCATTTGTGGAGATGTATCTCAGTAAAAGATTCAAATGTCTCTTATTTGGATGCTACTAGTATAGTTTAGTCAAACATTTTTTGAAACTGCAGGTTCTAAGGAATGCATGAAATCAAAATTGGCTTTAATATGCTTTTTTGAAAACCCCGATACGACTATCTCCTATCGACATATCGAATTTTTAATGAAAAAGACCCCATTTGGATTTAATCATCAATATTCCAGGAACCATTAATTTTACAAAAATTCTAAGGATGGTTTCAAAAGCTGGAACGGAGGACTAAGGATTATTTATGGCAAAGCACTTTTTCCATCTTGCATATGGGCCGGAAGAGAACAGCAAAAACGGTAACGTTTTTTTGAGAAACAAGGGCTAAATTGCAAATATTGACAAAATGGCTAATGTTCAGCTTGACTTTTACTTTTTATTGCTGCAAAGAATTCTAGAATGGAAAACAAGTTTTGAGTTTTTTGCTCATAAAAAGCGGGTACTTCATGGAGAAAATGTTTTTAAAAAATGTTAACGCGTTTTGAAAGAAAAATGTGTTAAAAGCTCAATAAACTGATTTCAATTTCAATGCTTCTAGCAGCAATAAAGGTTGATTGGTCAATTCAATCAAGGTCAAGGTGAGATTTTTGGAAAAGTAGAACGTGCAGTTCATTAAAAGATAGAAAAACCAGACATTTGAAGCTTTAAAGTGCATTTCTTATATAGATTTAGAACAGAAACAACTACTTCCTAAAAACAAAATATCTGAAAATAAATTCTTTAGTCTCGATCGTGTATGAAAAATGTATACTCAATAACTGGAAACTTCGCAAAGTATCAACAAAGACCTCCTTGAACGTTTGCTACTTGTATTGCACTGCAAGGACCGTCACACTGTTAGATAATGATCAAGAAG